CACCTAAGGATATGTAATGAAGGGGCCAGGCAAGCCTTCCTGGGGAAAGCATTCCAGAAAGGGGGAGCCACCACAGAAGAGGTTCTCATGTTGCCACCCTCTGGAACTCTCATGGAGGGAGTATATGAAAAAAGCCCTCAGATGAAGATGGCAAGGTCTGAGAAAGTTCATATGGAGAGAGGCATTCCTTGAGGTATTGCAGTCCTGATCCGTTTAAGGATTTATAGGTTGAAACCAGAACTTTGAATCGAGCCTGGAAACTAACTGGCAGCCAGTGCAGTCGGGCTAGGATTGGTGTAATATACTCAGACTATTTTGCGTAGGTGAGATGGGGCACTGGGGCAGGCTTCCCTTTGCCAACCAAAGGTGCAAAAAGGGTGGCTTCCTCAAGAGGAGGAAGAATTCTAGCAGTTGTGGAGGAAGGCCAGATGAACAGCTCACCTCTTCCACTGATTGTCTCTGGCTGCTGCTACCTCCAAGAGCGAAGCAATAGTTCTCCAGCAGTGAAGCTGGTCAATGTACCGTGGAGCTTATAGTCAGCTAAGCTTCTAGGGCTGCCTTCAATGGGCTGATTTGGCACTTGTACCCTGTTCCCTGGCGCTGTGGGTTAAACCACAGAGCCTAGAGCTTGCCGATTAGAAGTTCGGCAGTTTGAATCCCCGTGACGGGGTGAGCTCCCGTTGCTCGGTCCCTGCTCCTGCCAACCTAGCAGTTCGAAAGCACGTCAAAGTGCAAGTAGATAAATAGGTACCACTCCGGTGGGAAGGTAAACAGCGTTTCTGTGTGCTGCTCTGGTTCGCCAGAAGCGGCTTAGTCAAGCTGGCCATATGACCCGGAAGTTGTACGCCGTCTCCCTCGGCCAATAAAGTGAGATGAGCGCCGCAACCCCAGAGTCGGCCACGACTGGACCTAATAGTCAAGGGTCCCTTTACCTTTTACCCTGTTCCCACGTAGCCTCTCCAGTGGTCTGTTTTCGCTCCGAGTGTTGCCACTTGGTGTTCAGTTGGTAACTAGAGTTTTGAGTACATACAGTTTGATTGCAGCATTGGGTTTGTGGGAGAAGAGTCGTCTCCAGTCTCTCTTGGCCTGAGCAGTAATATTGTTCAGGGTGTTGCCACTCCCCATGCCCCACTTTCGGTCCAGCTCTGGCTGTTACAAGGGCCTTGCAGCTGTGCCAGCACCAACATTCTTTACTGTGTTTTACTGCCTCAATAAAAGTACAGGAAGCTACCTAAAACAAGCCAGGCCAATGGTCCCTCCAGCTCTGTATTGTCTATGCTGACTGGCAGAGGCTCTCCAGCATTTCATGCAGAGGGTCTCTCCCAGCCCTACTTGGAGATGCCAGGGATTGAACCTGGGACCTTCTGCATGCAAAGCAGATGCTCTAACCACTAATGTGCAGAGCACACTGGCTTGAGCCTGTGGGGCAGTTGGCAACTGACTCCCTGGGCAAATTGAGCCCCATCATAACAATTACAGTGGAACCTCAAGTTGCGGGCGTAATCCGTCCTGGAGGCACGTCCGCAACTCAAAGCATTCGCATCCAGAAGCGCTGCGTCTGCACGTGCCACGATTTAGTGCTTCTGTGCATGCACGAGCGTCAAAACCCAGAAGTAACTTGTTCCGCTACTTCCAGGTTGCCGCGAGACACAAGATGAAAACACGCAACCTGAAGCGGACGCAACATGAGGTATGACTGTAGAGAGGGGCTAGGACCCAGAGGAAGTGATTTCATTTCCTGATATTCTGGTGGGGCTGCAGCAGTCAAAGGGCCATTTAGTCCATGCTTTTTCAGATGTTGCCAATGATGACACATAACACATCATGTTCCATTGGCTTGTGTCCGTTATGGATTCTGCAGCCTTAATTGTGGCTGCACATGAGGCCCCTGCTAAATACAATTTTGGCCTGCTGGAAATGCAGTTGAACTGACTCTCTCTGCACAAGAGAAAGCAAGTATGAGTTTAGGATCATGGTGCCAACAGAGCAAGCTATCCAGAAGCAACTCAGGTCTGCATGATACAGGTAAAAGCAAGGCTTGCAATTATTATGGAAAAAATACATTTATTATTGTTGTTATTGCTGCTGTTATTATCTTATACATGTTGCACCTTTTAAAAAAAATCCCCAAATTGGAATCTCTTTTAATTTACAATTTGTTGCATTATGCTTTACTGGAATTATTATTATTATTGTTTGTTTACAGCACCAGAGTAGGGTGGGGCAAGGAATTAGAAATATTACCAATGGCTACAGTTCATATGAAAATTAATTACTGGGAAATATATCTATATCTATATATATACACACACACATTTTTGCACTTGGTATTGAAAAACGTAACACGGTATTATTACCTTGCATTAGAATAAAATAAAATATCAGTATCCAACTGCAAAGGTGTTTGTTTGTTTGTTTGTTTTAAAAAATCATATAGACAAAAGACAAAAAGATAGCACCATATGATAGTGAGAATCTACACTCCGTATGTGACAACTTGTGCAATTACAAATGTACAGTACTTAAAAGCAGCACATAGAAAATGGATTTTAGACAATGGGATTCCTACCCTTGTAATCCAAGAGGGCTGGGCTCAAAGGGAGCAAACCAAAGGCGTTGCTGTAGCTACACTGAAACCAAGAGGTGCCTACACAGTAAGTACAGATGAAGAAGCCACAGCCACTGTATATATTCTGGCTGCGGGTGCTTGATGTGGCATTGATGCTCCGCATGAACCCATGTTAATTGCAGTGTACACACAACATTGCTGGCATCAAAATGGCAGCCTGTACTCCCCATTTAATCTGGATTTTCCTTTTCCTAAGAAAGCGTGGTAAATTAAAAAACAACAACACAAAAACAGGTTGCATCCAATGTAGGATTAAAGTCACTTACTGGCATATTTGCTGCACTGCTGGAAGATTGTTGTGCAAGGGACAACACAATGGCATGACAAAAGATCTGTGCGTTTAATGGGGAGATGGGCAATAGGACTGGTTTAGGAGACGGAAGGTGAAAAAGAAAATGCTGTGAACTTCAGCCTTGCTTCAGATCTTGCAATAGCCCACCAGGCTTTTTCAAAACCAAATTTTATTTGAACAAACCCTTGCACCATCTCAGCAACCGTTTTGGAAACTGCCCTCAATTTCAAGCACTTAATTCACTGTACAGAAGGGATGGTGGGAACCCATGGCCAGGGGTGCCAACTTGAATAAAATATTGGGGGGCAGGTAAGCCCTGTCCTGCATAATCCATCACATGACACAGCACACACAAACCATTTGAACAGCAATGCTCTTCAACTAAGCCCCTCTAATATTTTATTGGAGGGGACTGAAGGGGCCTCAACCACTAGGAGTTGGCTTCCATGCCCGTGGCACTCTAGATGTTGCTAGACTCAATTGCCCATCTTTCCTGCCTGTTAGGCATGCTGGGCTGGGACTGGTGGAAATTATAGAGTCCAACTGCACTGGGAAAACCACAAGTCCTCCATCCCTGCTATACAGCATAAGTTTAAGAGTGGCATGTTGGGTCAAAGGAAGACCTAGCCTAGGGTTCTGTTTCCAGTGATCCTCCAAGAAGGCACACCATCTGTGCCTTGAAGGGGCTACCCTTTCCATGTTGTTTATCCCCAGCACAAAATATTTAGAGGTACACTGCTTCTGTGTACAGAGGCTCCATTAGCAATTGTTGCTAACACCAATTAGGCCCTAGCTCCCATGGATTTGGCTACACCCTTTTAAAAAAAGCCATCTAAACTAATTCTCAGTCATACAACCCAGTCTCTGTATCTGCAAGGCTGGTGTTTCATAGTGCAAGGCAAAAGATACCTTCAGCATGCAGGATCATGGCTCTTTTGATTGCAGCCTAAGCCATGATGCTGTGAGTTAGCTGATGAGGTCTGGCTATTCGGACCAGTGCCAAAGTGATGGAAATGAGTTGAAGCTTCTCTGCCAGTCCTCCTAGCACAAAGGCCAGCCTGCTACCCACTCCATCCCAAACAAGACTTTTTCACAGCACAGAACTGCTGGGTTGGGGTCTGAAAGGAACTCTGGCACAACACTGGCACTCTGGAGGGTACAGGCAGGCTATCAGCCTGGGATGGGCCTGATCTCACAGAGCAGAAGCAGAATGAGGATGGGATGATCATTTTACTAGAAGCATCTGACCAGGGATCGCCTTAGTATGTTGGTTTGGTTCGTTCATGAACAATTTCCTAGATGTAGCCATAACATCTAAGAGACACCAGCAAAGAGGCCTGAAATGCAGTCTGAATGTCTTTCTATGATTGATTTTGAGGAGGAGAATAAGGAACACTATAAAGACATAACACAGGCCAAAAGCATTACTACAAACACCAAGTGAACTCAACAAGATAAACTGGATTGGATAATTAGTAGCTACACTGTACAGAAATTTGATAGAATCCAGAGGAAGTTGGGCAAATTTTTCTTTTTATTTTTTGCAGGGTGGTGGTGGCAGAATATATTACCTTTATCACCTATTCCTCGTCTCGGAAGCTCACAGAGTAGTGGAAGTCAGGTTGTTTTATTGTAACCTCACAACAACCCTGTTTAGGTTGACTTCCCCAAGACCACTGAGTGAGCTTCCAAGATGAGGAGGGATTTGAACCCAAGTCTCCCAGTAAAGTGCAATCCTAAACATGTTTATTCAGAAGTAACTCCTAGCAAGGTCCTACTATAGTCACTCACCAATGAGACTTGTGTACACCATCAATCAGCCAATGTCTAATTGGTCCCAATCCAACACAAACTCTCTGGATTAGATCTGAGGTTAGCTCCCATAAGCTAGACAAGAAACAAAGGGTTGTAGCCAAGGTTAGCCTACCTCAGAGGAGGCCCACTGAAAGTAATGTGCCTAAGTTAGTTATCATGTCTATTCATTTCAGTGGGTGTACTCTTGAGTAGGTCTAGCAATGGATCCAATCCAAAACGTGTAAGCTTTCCCCATCTTAGGGAAGTTTTAGACTACAACTTCCATCAGCCCCAGTCAGCACAGTCATATGATGCTGGGGAGTGATAGGAGCACAGCTGATGGGAGTTGTAGTTAAAAACAACAGGAGGGTAGGCAGTTGGGGAAGGATGTACTAGACTCACCACCAAGACTACACAGTGTCTTTGCATATGGCTGCCAAGTCATCGTTGCAGCCCTGCCTGTAACTATATGTATAAAGAATAAAGAACCACAGAACCCTGCCCCACAAACAACCTGATAATACAGAAGCAGGCTAGCACCAATGAAGCTCAGCGAGTGAATAAGCTCCTTTTGATCCAAACATTCCCATTGCCTTGAGAAGGGTTAGAAGCTGGTCCTGAATTTTTGAGCACCGTTATCTTTATTTCCATCTTGATAAGATCCCAGGTCCGCACACTGGAAAACCCAGTTCATTGTCCGACATCTGCCATGCCTGAGGGTTTTTTTAAAAAACCAATTTGTCTAGTAGATTGATTTCAATGTCTTTTCATAGGATGAACTTTTTAAAAAACAAAATGCATGTCTGACTGCACATCCAGGGATCTTTGTGAGTTCTGATTTCAACTCAGGGCCATTTCTGTATTAGGGGTGTCAGAATGTCCTAATATGAACTTGGCCTTCCAGTCAACAGAGTTGCAGAGGACAGAGTGGCTTCATGGAGCAGAGCCTCCCATTTGCTACCTACTTGTCACCGTAGCGAAGGTGTTGAGGTGGAGATTCACAGCTTAATCTTCAGCACTGTGGCTGGAGATGCAAACATCTGACCTGAATGCACTTTGTTTAACAGAGCATGTTTAAATCGGCACACCCATGAAAGCGGCAATGCTTCTCTCTGCTTACAGCACTGCTTGCCATAGAGCCTGTGAAAGGTACCGTCTGAGCTGCATCGGTCTTCCACAGCAACCCTCAGAAATGACATTTCTACTCCATTTTATTTCTTTGGAGAGAGAGGGAGAAAAGATTCCCACCACTGAATGCAAGAGTGGCTGGGGCTGTGGGGTAGAGCTGTCCTCCCAGCAGTGGTGTCGCTGCTGCTTATCTGAACAGTGGGAGGGCTGGTGGGGTGGGACAGCAGCAAGGTTCAGCACCGCAGTAGGAGATCCAGATTGGCTGTGCTGGTGATGCTGTGCTGGGTCCTTCCTGCAGCCCTGTCCTGCCTCTGTACCATCCAGGTGAGCTGTAACATCAATGCCGCTGTTGGGAGGGCAGCTCTGTGGCACTACTCCACTGGTCCAGATTGGAAACGATAAATGATGTCCAGACCGGAGTGTGGGTGTGGAAGAAGAGAAACAGGGATATGCCTTCTGCCCAGGAAGAGATAAAGTAACGATTCTCTCCCAAAATAACAGAGCCGAGAAGATTTAACCCCTCTTCCTGCTAACCCCTGTCCCCCAGATTCAACACATCAATTCTAATACTGTGATCGCCGCACAGATGTCCAGACTTGTTGCAAAATAATAGGCAGCACAGGAATGGGAACCTGTGGTTCTCCAGAGGTTACTGGACTAAAGCTCTTACCTTCCCTGACCACCGGCCCTGATGACTGAGACTGATGGAGATTGGAGTCCAACAACCTCCAGAGGGCCACAGGTTCCCCATGCCGGACATAAGCTTTCAATGCTTAGCGCTGACCCTTCCACTGAAATTTCTGTGCCACATGTGGAGGTTTATTATGCAGCTGCAGTGGTGGGTGCAGTGGGCCAGGCATGTTTTTATGCAGCTCAGTTGGGCTACTGAAACTGGTCTGATGGAAAACTTCACGATTGAACTTGATGTACCACTGTAGAGTTATGAAGCATTTTGAGTTGAACTGGGTCTCCTGGGATCATTACAGTCGTCTTCTATTTATGTATTGCAACACTGGATAAATAAAGCACCTTAATAAAAAACAAAACAAGGCAAAAGAGAATATATGTTGGCAGAGAGGAAGCGGAATGTCAGCCCTTGATTCGGTTTTCTTCTTCTTTTCACTCCTTTAAAATTATACTCAGTGGAATGCTGGCAGCAGCTGTGGCGAGCTTTCTGCAGAGATTTCAGATGCGTTCATCCACTGCTGTTTGGCTTTCAGGAGCTTTTCTAGCAATGCCTCTTTTTAAAAAAAATAAAAAAATTAAGCATTTCATTAATGGTTCTTGCTTTCAAGCCACCCGGCCTCCGCCCGCACTTTCGGGCTGGGAATGGAACGTAGAAGCCAAAGGCTGAAGCATTAAGTAATGTCTCTATCTACACTGAGTTATTTGCCAGAGGCTTACCCTGTTGAGGTACATGTAACTTTAGTCAATTTAATCACTTTTCAAATCTTTTACTTTTTTTTTTTTTAAGTAAAGGAAAATGGTAGCAAGCCATCCAGTGGCTGGAAATAATCTATATATTACTGGGGGGCGGGGGGGAAGTCGCAACGTCAAAACATCATAAAAATCTCTAGGATTGGCTTGGAGACGAATTTTTCTTTCTTTCTCTTTTTCAGTCGTGGATTGCTTTGGTTCACCCGGTCTGCAAAAGGAGTTTCAAGTCCTATTAGGTAAGCGTTGGAATCCACCAAGTCTGAGTGGCTTGCTGAAGATCTGGTAGGCAGCTTACCCTCAAGCTTGCAACTTTCCCTGGCTGCACTGGGCCAAGGTCCATCTATTCAAGCATTTTGACATTTTAACAGTGGCCAGCCAGGTGCCGCTGGTGCCCAGTGGAAATGGCCATCCCCTGTTGTTGGTCACCAGCACCTGGCATTCAGAGGTAGACTGCCTCTGTGCATTTGGGGGGGGGTCCATTTTGCTGTCATGGCTGTTTAGCTATCGACAGACCTATCCCCTCCCCCCCCATGAATTTTGTCTAATCCTTAAAAGAAAAAGAAAAAAAAGCCATCTAAGCTAAGTGGCTATTGCCACTATCTTGTGGCAGGCAGTTCCATAAGTTAATGACACATTTTTTTTATGAAGCAGTACATAGGAGCTGTAATACCCTAAAGGAGCAAAAGGCGGGTGTCATTAACTTTTCAGTTGCATCTTGCTTGCATAGAAGTCTCTGCAGGTCTGGCAACAGCGCTGATACCACCTCATGTCCTGGCAGAGATTTTTCTCCCGAATCACGCGGCAGTATACCATCCACTGGTCGCCTGTGCACTTGTAGGTCAGAGCAGCTTTTGGAATATAATGTGGGGCGGGAGGAAGAGAGAGAAAAAAAAGATAGAAAAAGTTTTCTGGGGAAGAGCCTGGGACCACAGGGAAAGGGTTACACAACCCACAATACTCTGTATTTATGAACATATAAAAACTGCCTTATCTGGAGCCCAGTCCATTAGCTCGTCTAGCCAGGTATTCTGACTGGCAGCGGTTTTTGAGGGTTTCCTCCCAGCCCTCTTACCCTTAGGTAGGCAAACGAAGGCCCGGGGGCCGGATCTGGCCCAGTCGCCTTCTAAATCCGGCCCGCGGATGGTCCAGGAATCAGCATGTTTTTACACGAGTAGAATGTGTGCTTTTATTTAAATGCGTCTGGGGGTTATTTGTGGGGCATAGGATTTCGTTCGTTGTTTTTTTCAAAATATAGTCTGGCCCCCCGCAAAGTCTGAGGGACAGTGGACCAGCCCCCTGCTGAAAAAGTTTACTGACCCCTGCTCTTACCCCAAGTCATTTTAACTGGGGACTGAACTGTGGGCAGTGTTTTCCCTGTGTGGTTAAATTAACTTCAAACACATCACCTGAATAAACTTTACAACAAACTTGGAAGGCAGGCCAGAATGATCAATGCTCTGGAGTGTGGATGCATGCACTAGGGCTAACAGTCATGCAGAGGAATAGCTAGGCACAGCTGATCCATTCTGTATCTCTTATTTGTCCCAGTCTTAAGTTCAGTTGTTGACATCTGTTTGAGATTTATTTAAGGTAAAGGTAAAGGTACCCCTGCCTGTACGGGCCAGTCTTGCCAGACTTTAGGGTTGTGCGCCCATCTCACTCTATAGGCCGGGAGCCAGCGCTGTCCGCAGACACTTCCGGGTCACGTGGCCAGCGTGACAAGCTGCATCTGGCAAGCCAGCGCAGCACACGGAACGCCGTTTACCTTCCCGCTGGTAAGCGGTCCCTATTTATCTACTTGCACCCGGGGGTGCTTTTGAACTGCTAGGTTGGCAGGCGCTGGGACCGAACGACGGGAGCGCACCCCGCCGTGGGGATTCGAACCGCCGACCTTTCGATCGGCAAGTCCTAGGCGCTGAGGCTTTAACCCACAGTGCCACCCGCGTCCCTGAGATTTATTTATTTATTCATTTATTAAAGAACCCTCATGGAAATTTGTCAGGATTTTACTGTGGTGTTTTCCTCGTTGTACACATTCTTGTAAAGCAACTTTCCCTAATACAATGCATTTTTCTTGCATAATTTTCACTGCCATGTGCATTTTTTGAACACATTACAGTGGTACCTTGGTTTTCGAACGTCTCCGTTGATGAACATTTTGGTTTTCAAATGCCGTAAATGCTTTGGTTTTCGAACACGCTTCAGAAGTCAAACATGCCACGCGGCTTCCACTGAGTGCAAGATCCTGAGGCCTGGCTGTCGGCTACTGAGTTTTCAGTTTTCGAAAGTTTCAGAACTCAAACGGTCTTCCGGAACGGATTATGTTCGAAAACCAAGGTACCACTGCACAGTACTTGATTGGAGAAGTGCATGGCAAAATTAGGAGAATTGTGAATTTTGAAGGATGGGAGCGTTTCTGTTCTCATCTTGTTATGGAAAGAGAAAATTAGGTAGATTTGCCTTTAAATACCAACTGGATCACATTTCTCCTCCATCTCCACCTGGTCACCCTGAAGCTTGCCTAAGGCTGCCTAGTAAGTCATAGCTGCTGGGAAACTTGAACCACTTCACGCAGGCCCCGTGCTGCTGCCATAGCTCTCATGAAATATACAGAGTCTAAGGTTGGGAGGGTCTGAAGCTGCTCCTCCACCAGTCCTTTCCACCACCCCTACTGGTGCCAGGTGAACATAGAGGCTCCCTTTACTGATCTGGGAGGAAGGTGGTGGCACAGATCAGCGATGCAGGAGGTGCCCTGGCTGAATCTCTTCTCAGAGTTTTATAATATACAGCAGGTGTGGGAGATCTTTGGCCCTGCAGGTGTTGCTGAATGACATTCTCCTATCACTCCTGGCCATCGGCCATGCTTGCTAGGGCTGATGGGAGTTGTAGTCCAGCAACTTCTAGAGAGTCAAAGGTTCCTCACTCCTGATATACACACATGAGCACTATGCTAAGACCTGGCAAACTAGGGTGGGTGTTTACTTCAGTACTTGACTTCCTGGGAATCTCCATTTTCACTTGTGTGTGTGCTTTGTTTTTTTAAACACAAGTTTGTAGCCCTCGCAATTAGCAGGCACATTTAAAAATGTTTGTTCAGAGCACTGTATACCCAGGGACCTCCCACTTATCATACATGGGAAATATTTGAAGTGGACATTTTCCAAATTAAGGCCAAATGTTTCCTTCTCACAGAAGAGGGAATCCACGTGTGTCAGGAGGATCAACTAGACAAAAGCTTTCCTCCTGGGAGTAGTAGTGATTTCAGGGGTGGGGTGTTTCATCAGGACTGCAGTGGAAGAAAGGAAAGATATGAACCTTCACGCCCCCTTGCCTGTGGCTTCCAGTCTGGTTCCCCCACCCTTCCATGGACATTGTTTGGGAAGGGGGAACCCCTAGACATGTTAATTGCATTTAATCAAGGCCGAACAGCAACATCAGGCAGGCATCTTTTTTTGAAGGTTCTGAATAGCCGCTTTTTAAAAATGCTTTTTAAAGACTACTTTTATTGTTTTATTATTTTTGTAAACTGCTTTGAGGTTTTATTACAATCAAGTGGTACATATATACACGTGAAATAAAACAAATATATAAATATACTTGGTGTGGCTGAATAAGTCTATCCAGACATGTAGAAGCTATCCCAGTATTTTAATGTGGTTTTAGCTTATAGCGGATTTTAATTATTTTTGAATGCTTTAAATATGTGTTTTTAACTGGGATTTTTTTTTTACTGATAATTTTAGTGTTGTTCCCTCCCCTTTTGCAAACTGCTTTGAGGTTCTATTATAATCAAGTGGCATATAAATATTGTGAAATAACTAAAATAAGCTTGATGTTACAGATCAAGCCGTTATTGGATCTCCTGCTGCTTTTGTCCACTTTTAAGCAATGTTGGGGGCTCCAGTCAGAGTAATGCTGGTGGGACAGAGATGGGATTGATCAGAATAGCATCAGTAGGGGAGGGGTGCAGTTTTCCTGATCTAAATGCCCCATCCTCTGAGGTGCTTTTAACCCTGCTGTGCAAATCTGCCGAGCCATACCTGTTCTGACACTCTACACATCAACACAAAGTCGTTTGAGAATGGTCGCTAGCTTCAGAGTTTGTTTCTTTAGGGTGACAAATGCAGCCATACTTACCAAGTCTTGGTGAGGTAATTGTGTTCACATTGATCTTCTCGTTACAGGCCTCTTGGTGACACTGTCGGTAGGCTGCAGGCTTGGAGAGGACAGGGCATTCATTGCCATGGCGCCCCGTGACCTTGTGCATGCACTGTACCACGCGGGACTGAAGGCCTTTCCCACAAGTTGAGGAGCACTGGAGAAGAGAAGGTGACCTTGGTGAATTGTATATAACAGTCAGAAAGCCCATGAAGACAGCGGAGAGGCTCTTGGGATGACATCAGATGATGCCCAAATTGGCTTTGAAAATCCCTGGCAAGTAATGCAGTTAGCTGATGCTCAAACCGCAATATTTTTGGACAGCTTCCCTTTAAAGAAGGTTGTGCAATTGAGCTCTGCTGGCTAACCCTGTCCCTCAGGAGTCTTCCAGTCTCCGTTCATGGCAGGGCCCACACCACAGGAAGAAGAGGAGGAGGAAACAACCCTTTGAGACAAGGGGAGAAGCTATTGTGGCAGTTCAGAGACAACAAAGAGGCTCCAGTCCAGTCTGTGAGGTGGAGTGGAGTGGAAGACCACTGGAAATCAGGAATGGGGCCTTTGGTCAGAACTGGTGCATCCTGCACTTTTTTTTTAACGTGTTCCAGTCATCTGCACACTATGAAAACAAATTTGCAGTGTCTTTTACACAAGCACACATACATCAATGTGAGTGACTTCAACATCTTTTATTGTGAAATGTGAAAAAAGTTCTCTCCCTGCCAAGTTGTTTCTAATCTAATAAACATAATATGTTATATTTTCCCATGCAAATGGGGAAAGTGACACAGTTGCCTTCTTTGCACCACCAGGAAAGTGCAAATCCCCCGACCAGGTTGCTGTTCTGATAGTTCCACTCAACTTGCAGCTAACAGCAGCAGAAACAAATTGAAGCGACATAGGATTTGGCTGTTAACTCTCACTTCTCTGCATTGACCCTGTTGCTTTAAACACCTACTGTGATATACATTGTACCTCCCTTGCCAACACATGATGCATGTATGCTCTCCATTGTTGCTGTTCTTGATCTCTCCATTTCCTGATATGTAGCTTGGAAGTCTAACATTACTAAATATAACCATATCCTCACACTTGGGGCTAGGTCCATATAAATCTATCTGGGTGGTCCTTTCAACACAAGCAGACAGACCTGGTTTCTCGACAATGCCCAGCCCTTCTCACAGCTATTCCCAGCTTCAAAAGGGTTTGAAAGCATTAACACACGTTTGCATGATCCTGCCATGAAGCATGCAAAAGATCTATTGCAGCCTGTGGTCAGTGGAAGAGTCACAATTATGCCCCTAAACCATGTCATATGTGGGATACGAATTTACCTGTTGCTTGACTAGTATCTCTCATGTTTATGAAGATTTTATCAAATCAAAATGGATGCATGTTTGTGTGGAGATACACATACACACCACTCGGGGGTCTGTATTGCAAATGGCAAATGTTTACCTGCCTCTACTTTTATGTGTCTGCATCTATGAGCCCACAGAGAGGGCAAAGATTCAAGGTTTCCTCCGCCTTTTCCACAATTTCTGCCAGCTCTGCTTCTCAGTACACAAAGAACCACCAAGTGTGTGTGTTTTTTCTCTTTCCTTGCCTTGAGCTTAGTTTGATTGCTTCTCCTGGGAAACCAAGATCATCACCTAGGCTATGCAATTAGTCTTTTCAGTGCCAGGAAGACAGACTTTAACATCTATCTTGAACTGCCTGGGTTTGGCAGCTAAGGAGACATCTGGCTTATTTTAGGGATGGGGGTGGGAATCAGCTTTCCAGGAAACAGGGAATACAGAAAAGTGTACACATGAGGGTTCTTGCACACATGGCATTGTACTTTGGGAACAGCAAGGGTGCTAAGGGCAGAAGGGAAGTAAATGTTGATAATGCTGTAATTTGTACCAAAAATGTTAAATCCTATACAGCCTGACTGGGAGACAAGTCTCACTGATTTCACTGGGAGATAATTTTGACGTCCTGGTCCAGATATATAGTTCAACAGTGCACCAGTTGAACCTGTAAGATGTGGTGATGGAAATGTATGTTTAAATGGTCCCCATCAAAAGAAGAAATCCCCGAACATATAAAATAAGAATGGTAAGGAGCAGACTTCACTGGAACCCTTCTCCCTGCTAGGTTAATATCCATTTCTAAAAAGAACTTAAAGAATAATTTCATCAGACATGTTAAAAAATTCTATTAGCTGCTTCATATACACATGCACGTTCATGTGTATGTCTCACGTGGCTGATGTTTGATTCAGAGAATCAGCAAGTTGAAGAGGGGCATACACGGCATCTGAACTAATAAAGCAAATCCAGTCCAATTTCTGCTGGAAGACCCCAGTGAGAGAGAGCCCACTACCACTCTAGATCAGCCTTTCCTCAACCTTGGGTCCCTAGATGATTTTGGACTATAACTCTCACCATTCTTAGCTAGCAGGACCAGTGGTCTGGGATGATTGGAGTTGTAGTCCAATAACATCTGGGGTCCCAAGGTTGAAAGGCTGCTCTTCTAGACCATTGCTTTCATTGACAAACTGCTCTTACCATCAAAGGGTTTCTCTAAACATTCAACTGCAAATTGCATTAGCTCCACCTTTTTGCAGCCACATTACACTGCTGACACATATTCAGCTTGTGCTGAACTATAATATTCTGCGTAGCTAAGCCAGATATTCCCTATCTCCCTATACCTGTACTTTCTTTTTTTAAAAAAAGACGGTTGTAGCTAAATGCTTTACAGAAATAAAGATAAATTATGTCCACAGCAGTCCAACAATCTACTACACTAGTAATCCATTTTTAAAAAATGAGGTAAGATTAGTCTGGTAGGATGTATATATGCCTGTTTCTAACTCATTGGCTGTAGTATGACTTGTATGGGCCTTCCACTTAAAGATTAAATATTTGCAACTGGCATTGGATGCTGGGGTAGATATATATTGGGAAAACTCTTGTTTGGAGTAGGTATCAGGTGGTGTGAAGTGGTATGTCTGCTCACCCTCTTGGTGTGGTGGCATCGCAGGATGGCAGAGGCTCCTCCAAAAGCCCCGACAAGGGTGGCTCAGGATCAATGCTCAGTCTGCAGGGGCGGCAGGGGCGTAAGCCTGCACCGTCTATCATGAACCAGATCCAAACCTGCACCCAGGATTGGCAAATGGGGGTGCAGGTTTGGATACGGGCTGGGCCAGGGGGCAGAGCTGACGGAACAGAAAGGCTTCCCTCAGGTCCAGTGACTTGCTGTGACGAAGCATAAAACTGCTCCCCTCTCCCTTCTCAACCAACTATCCTACTCTTTTTAAAGGCTGAAAGAAAAGTAGACTTGAATGTAGCAGATAGATTTCCAGTAAATCATTCACCGACAGAACATGGCTGTAGTTTCATAACCTAAAATGAAGGATTGGATCCTGAAAGGATGATTTGCAAAATCAACGTTCTGCATGTCCATGCCATTAATTTTGGACTAAAGCTTCCAGCATTAATCAGTACATGATACATTTTCCCATAAACCTTCAATCAACCAACAACTACTTTTAGTATCATAAATTCAGAACTACTGGAACATAGACAATGGGCAGGATCTGGGTAAGTTTATATGGGGAGAGGAGGTCCTTGAGGTATTGCAGTCCTGACCTGTTTAAGGCTATATGGCTCAAAACCAGCACTTGGAATTGGGTCCAGAAACTAATAGGTAGCTGGTGCAATTGGACCAGGATTGGTGTCATATGCTCAAACCATCTTGCCCTGGTGAGCAACCTGACTGCTGATTTCTGCACCAGCTGAAGTTTCTGAACAGTCTTCAGAGGCAGCCCCACGTATAACATGTTACAGTAATCTAACCTAGACGTTACCAGAGCTTGAGCAACAGAAGTTGGGCTATCCCTGTCCAGATAGGGGCACAGCTGGGCCACCAATCAAACCTGATGGAAGGCACTCTGTGTCACCAAGGTCACTTGAGCTGCAATCTAATTAGTCTATAGCAGACTTTAAGATATGTACTTTTCACAGCTTTAAAAAAAAAAAAAGGGGGGGGGAGACAGCAAAGGACAAAGAGGGAAAGAAACACCAAAGCTATATAACGATTGTCCCCAGTCTTGTCAAAAACCATCTTTCAGTTTTTTGTGTCAAGGAAATGATTTGTTTGATTCCAGTGGGGGTAAGAAATGGAACACCTTCTGAATTCAAGGGGAATAGTTCAACATTGGGAAAAGGAATAAATTACATTGAGGTGAGAAAAAAATGTATCTTAGAAGTATATTGTAGAATGCAAAGGGGCATCTACCTACCAAGTTTTCCCCCCAACTGCCTCCAAGCTGTATTTTTTAAGTCCAGGTGATATTGAGAACAAGATGGGGCCAGCATTTTCATCTCTGCGTGTAATTAAAAATGACTTCACCATTTTCAAAGAGCAGAGAGTTCAAGATGACAAGTACATAAATCCATCTGCTTCCTGGAAGTATGCATATGCCAAAGTAGGAAGAGAGGGGAAGGGGGATGCAGTTGGTAAGAAGAACACATGAAAGGCTAAAGCAGAGGGAGAGATGGGAAGCCTGACCTGCTCCATTGGCTCTGCTGGCCAACTTTGGCTCTTTCCATCCCAGATGATCATTATCAGAACTGGTGCCCCAATTTTTCCTTTTCCCTCCCCATCCCTTTCCCCTTTTGCATTGTGGCCCCAGCCACGCTTAAGCACTGTTCAAAAATTGCAACTGACCAGCAGTGGAAATAAGTCTTTCCTGCAATGGAGAAGGTGACTTTTCCTGATGGTTGTGATGACCCAGAAGCCCCTTGTCTTAATTTCTAGCATGTAGTCATAGAACCACTTTGCAAAAAGCAACCCAGTCTGAGGTGATACCAATGTGAAATTCCTTTACAAATGAAGCATCTGAAAATGTGAAGATCTGATCATCTAACATTACTGATAATCCCCCCCCCGCCCTAAATGAGCTCTGGCAACCTTATCACCTTATTGCTTTCTTTCTTGGGGCAATAATAAATCTTGCAAAGAGCTGCAGGAAGGAATGCAAACCCAACTGTTGCATCACCAGAAATTTCTGCAGGCGACATTTGTACGTGCAACATCTGCATGTTGAGCAGTACGCAGAGGATCTGTACGCGTCCATGAGGATTCCATCTGCACAAGCCCTCTGGCATGGGCTGAAGAATCACATGTTCTAAATGTCTGGCTGGCTGTGTCTCATTTTTTTTTTTAAAAACCCTCCTCAAAATCTCTTTGCAAACATTTCATTGTTGCTCCAAAAACAAACCAGTATGTAAAATGGGGGGTGGGCATGATTAAACAGCACAATATCACCTGTAATCTGCAGACAGGTGCTACCAGATGTATTTTGGTTCAACCCACCTAAAACTAAAACTTTTCTTAAGTTAATCCAATGGAATTTCTCCTTGTCACTTCCCAATCGACCCAGAGGCCTGCAACGGCTGCATCCCATCATTTTGGGTTGTGGTTTCAAAGCAGTATGTAGTTGCAGTCCCTGACCGTGTACACCTCTCCTGTTCTTATGCATTCACTTACCCAATTTTCCTAAATACGTCAATATCCTCTTCCCCTGAGCAGTATTATCTGTTCCATACTACAGAAGATGTGGGAGGCTGAGGCTAGGCTCACGGCCACACCATTCACTTAAAGCACATTTTGAGCACAAGTCTTCTCCCAAAGAATCCTGGGAACTACATTTTATCCCCAAAGAGCTACAATTTCCATAAATTTTAACAAACTACAGTTTCCAGGGTTCTTTGTGGGAAGCCATGTGCTTTAAA